CTGGTATCATCATTGATTACACAATTTAACCGCCCGAAATTTCAAGGTCCTTGAAGACCACGACTCTGGACATGACGAGGTACGCACAATCTCTCAAACTGACCGCTCTTAAACAGGGTACAAGCTGACATACTGCTTTCTCTACCTTAGGAAGTGGACTCATCGACGCAGAGTATAAGCAGTTCCATTCTCCAGTACCGCCAGGAGAACGGGAGAACCTATCACGGATACAAAGATGGCAGTGAGTTCAGGAATAGTGGAGTTGAAGGTTGCTGATCACACAGAATACAATGTTCCAAATGACGAGGAAGAGAACGAGAGACTAGGTATGCATGCCACCAAACAAAGGCATCCTTGCTAAAGAATACAGATTTGCAACATGCTCTGTTTCTGCGAACCTTCGACGATAGACTCGGCTTTGCCCCACCGTGTAAGCCTGAAGCCAAAGTCCAGCATGTCCTGGATGTAGGCACTGGCACTGGAATCTGGGTGATGGACTATGCAGATGATCATCCAGGCGCCGAGGTTTGTTCCTCAACAATTCCTTACTTGGTACCAACTAATGCTTTTCAGGTTATTGGAGTAGACCTGTCTCCCATTCAGCCCAGCTTGTATGGATACTTGCGCCTCTTTTTATCAACTAGCTAACAATATCAGTGTCCCTCCGAATGTCCGATTCATCATTGACGATATCGAAGAGGAATGGCAGTACTCTTCAAAGTTTGATTACATCCACAGCCGAATGATGAACTCTAGTGTCGCTGACTGGGAAAGCTATGCTACTAAGATCTTTGAGTATGGCTCTTTTGCAGCCCTTTAACCCTACACCGCTGATCCTGGATAGAAACCTGGAACCTGGTGGCTATGTAGAGCTACAGGAGATCGATGTCTTTACCAAATCTGACGACGGCACCTTGACGCCGGAGCACAATCTACGGCAGTGGGCTCAGCTTATATATGATGCGTCTGTCAAATTGGGAAGACCATACTTCGACCCAGGTAACATAAAAGACGTTCTTGCCAAGGTTGGCTTTGAAGACGTAACGGAAGCAAAGTTCAAGTGGCCAACGAATCGATGGCCAAAAGATAAGAAGCATAAGGAATTGGGCGTATGGAACAACGAGAATGCGAATTTCTTCCTCGAAGCTGTGGCCATAGCTCCACTGACTCGGGCTTTGGGATGGTCGAAAGAAGAAGTGACTGTTTTCATCGCCCAAGCCAGGAAAGAACTCAATGATCCTCGGATTCACGCATACTGGCCAATGTGAGTCTCAGTCTAATCACTACTGCGTAACAGTGAGCTAATCGTTATAAGTATCTCGGTATATGGGCGCAAGCCAGCGAAATAGTTGTAGATCATAAAATCACTGTACAATGCATACTTGCTCGATCAATGCGGATTGGATTCAGATTGATATGCTTGTATCGATACAATAAGCAATGGTCATTTGTTTATTTCTATTAGGAGACTATGATATCTTTGAACTTTTACAACTTGGAGGTGCTCTCCTCACGGCCCTTGAGGTTAATGTGAGGAGTGTCGTTTGCAGGCCGAGTAACAGCATAGAAAGCAACACCGTGAGACCTGGTAGAGAACTAAATACAGATCAGTTATGGAATTCAAAGCAATTGGAGGGAGAGCACTAACCTGAGCTTTGGAACCGACGTGGAAGAAGGCCCAGTCTCCAGCAACAAGGTGGTGAGTGATACCGGTAGCCTCGTCCTGTCCATAATTAGTATGTTGTTCCTGCAACGCCACGGGGAGATATCTTTACAGTCACATCGATTTGACCACTGAGGACATATTTGGTCTCCTCGTAGTCGTAGGATCCATATCGTGTAGGGCCAGGAACGACCTTGTAGAAACCGGTGGTTAGGTAATGATCGGAGTCGTTGCGCTGGCTCTTGATGGAGTGGAAGTCTGCAATAATGGCGCACTCTCCATCAGGAATGGGAATGTGCTCATGGCCAGCGCCCTTGATAATGGTAAGAGGAACAATCTTGTTAGACACTAGGTAGGTTAGTCAAACATCCGTCTCCCTGTCCATTCAGGGTAGCTTACTTTTGATGGATTTGGTATAATTGCAAAGACAAAGATACAAAAGAAAGGCTAAACAACAACTCCTCTGCTCTGTTTATATAAGTACCGATCCATGACGGAGCATTCTCGGCATATAGGTATATATGATACGGGATACGGCTCCGGGCCCGTAGCTCCGTGCCTGAGAGTTGCGCAGCATCTTATCTGTAGCCGCACTAAGCCAAAGTAGGGTCAGCGTCGCTTAGTCAAGCTGGATCACGACAAAACACATGATCGGGACCCCACCGTGTTTCGCCGGATTATTTCATGGGCAGTGAACAAGCTTATCGTGGACGGCGTGATCATATCTTATCGCTTACGGCTTATCGATTGACAAAGTGGCTTATCAGGGCTCTTATCTCATCCCTACCCTAAGGCGAAAAGCAACAGCATATTAAAAGTAATAAAAAACACTTGTTAGAACCTATAATTATTTTATCTGTTTGGTAACTAAGCCCCTTTATTTCTTTTAAGTTGTCTCTTGAACTCGCTGACCAAATGAAGGGGTTTTGGCTCGTGTAGGGTCTTATAATCTTCATCCTCGACCCGAATTGAATTAGTCATGAAACTAATTTCCTGTAAGATATGTGATTCTTTCACTGGCCACACAGTTACTGGCTACAAAGAGTTTTTACAAAGAGGCTTATCAAATAATAATTCCAGCAGATGGAAATGGCCTGCCATTCCATGGGCTACAATGCCACGTTTTCCTGATGTGCCGCAAGCATTAGTGAAGGTCAAGTCAAGTTCCCCAGAAAGTGGCACGCTCCGACGACATACCAGCCACGTCGGAGTTGCCCCGCTGCCGCATCGTTCGTTTGTGGGGAAAGTGGACCACCAAACTCCTGAAATCCGGGGTAACGGGGTGAACGAACGATATTCTTCATACAATAGCCAGTCCGGCAATTGCGAGAGAGTCATTCATTTATAAGAAGCCGCTGTCAAGGGATAATAAATCGACAATTGCTTTGGCAAATCGTCCCAGCACTAAGATCCCATACCTAAACAGCAGCATCATCAATACCTTTAGCATTCTGGTGTCAATCCGCTAGCAATGGGTAAGCATACAACTGCTTACAACAGGCTCGTCACTGTCGCGGTTGCCTTTGGCTCCCTGGTAAGTGACCCGACGCGTTATGCACACATAGCTGCATCATGCTCATTTCATCCAGACATACGGCTACTGCTCTTCCGTTATCGGCAGCACAATCGGACAGCCAGGATGGTACAAATTCTTCGACTTGCCTCAGGCGGGCGAGCCTGGCTACAGTACCAAGACAACTGAGGCCATCTCCACCGCAAATGGAATCTACAGCGCGGGCGGCGCCATTGGCACGCTTTTTGTCATGTGGGCTGCTACTGCGCTCGGCAGGAAGCGGTCTATCCAGATTGGCGGAGCTTTTGCGTTGCTTGGAGGAGCATTGCAGGGTGGTGCAGCAAATCTGAGGTGAGTAATGTCTACCTGCTTGCATGGCTATACATGGTAAAGTTCGACACACTGACTTGGTACTACAGCATGTTCCAAGCTGGCCGAATCTTGGCTGGTATCGGTATCGGAATCCTCGTCACGGTCTGCCCGATGTACATGGGAGAGCTCGCACCACACGACAAACGCGGATGGCTAGTCGGACACCACGCCATCTTTCTTGTATTTGGCTACATGCTCTCGGGCTGGCTTGGGTATGGCTGTTACTTCCTCACTGAAAGCATGCCGGACTTTGCCTGGAGATTTCCTCTCTCCATGCAATGTCTCGCGCCCACAGTACTTCTCATAACTTCTTTCTGGATCCCTGAGTCTACGCGATGGCTCTTGCAGAAGGGCAGGATTGAGGAGGCATGGACCGTTGTCCGTAACTTGCGACAGTCACCGGACGATCCAAACGACCTAGTCGCTCGCGAAGAGATCTACCAGATCAAGGAACAACTGGCTCTGGACTCTGCCAAACTCAAGGCACTAGGCTGCGGACCCTTCATGGCAGTCCTCAAGAAGAAGAGTTACCGGAAACGGCTGGCAATAGGCTTCCTGACACAATGGGGCGCCGAGTTCGCTGGACCACTGATCATCGTAAGTTGATACCTTCTCCTCTCCACTCCCTTCAAGCTCTAACACTGCCAGAACAACTACTCAGTCATTCTTTACACCAATCTCGGTCAAACTGGATCTATGCCTCTGCTCCTTTCGGCCTTGTGGCTTACGACCGCTGGCGTCATCTACAACCCGCTCGGCGCCTGGCTGCACGACAGAATTAATTCGCGTCGATGGATGTTTATGACCGGCTTGTTTGGCTGCTTGATTACCACGAGTGGACTTGCTGCCTGCATCTCCGAGTTTTCCGGAACTGCCAATAAGGCAGGTAATGCAGCAGGCGTCTTCTTTGTTTTTCTGTACCTGGCATTCCAAGGGTAAGTCTCTCGGCCCGAACTGGGAGTTTCCGTCAGCTGACATTGTACAAGAACCTTTTGCGATACGACCATGTACATCTACGTGTCAGAGATCTTCCCCACCGAGATTCGCCCTATCGGTATGGGCTTCTCTCTGTTTGGCCAGTTCACAAGCACCATCATCCTGCTTCAGACAGCGCCCATTGGCTTCGTGAACATCGGCTGGAAGTATTACCTGGTTATTATTGTTTGGTGCATCTTCTTCATACCCATCGTGTACCTGTACTTCCCAGAGACTGCCAAACTGTCGCTTGAGGAGATTTCTGCCCGTTTCGGCGATGACGTTGCCGTTCACGTCAACGATGTTCCGGCCGAGCAGCGCAGAGAGCTCGACGAGTATATTGGCAAGCTGGATATTACCCATATGGAGGAATCAGCAGATAAGAGCAAGGCTATGATGTAGTGCTAGGATACAAAGAGCCCAGGCAATGCTTTACCTTCCTAATAATTAACTTAATTCTACCATCCCTCTTCCCTCTTAAACAAGAGTTAATGCAACTTTCTTAGTCTCCCCCCATATATCCTCTTCTAAAACCCCAAAGTTGAGTTTTGAGCCCAGACGAATAGAAAACCTGAAACGATTCGGATGCTGGTCGTATTTTAGCACGATACGCCCTTGGCCAACGCGCTGGTATTCATTTTCACGCCGACCTGTTTCCCGAATGATTAGAAAGTAGACAACTGGGCAGCTGCCTTGCTTATCACGGTAGGCTTTAGCGAGTCGGAGTACTTGGCAGCGTTCGAGGACGTCTGCTTCTGGTTCTGTAGGCTGTATATCGAATCCCCATATTGGACTCCATTGTTCCCTCAACAGCATCGTTGCCGCGTGTTTCAAGACGCCAGAGGCCTTGATCTCTCCGCGTCGGACATTCCCAAATGTATTTACCCGCTCTTCTTCAATAGCAGTGTCCGTGATATCGAGGTCCAACTCGGCACGACGGTCAATCTTCCCGCGGTGGTCGACAAGCATGGTAAAGAACTCGTCGTAGTAGACTGGCCCAGTGATCGAAGCCCAGCTCCACGTAGGAGCACCTCCTGGTACGCGCTCGGCGTGACCCGAACTGCTTCTACGCCACGTCAATCCGCGTAGGAGATCCTCCTCCCATAATCCGGCCTTATACTTCATCCCCGACAGCGAGGCGACATAAGAGGCCATACCTGCTACGGCAGGGAGCCGATCAGTCTTTCGCGTGAGGTTTTTCGATGTATAGAGCTTCACCCAGTCATACCAGGTGAAGGAGAAGTTTTTGACTGGGACTGACTTGGAGTAATAGCCCGGAAGTTTCTCAAGAGACAAAAAGGACCGCCTTTCGGTGCGTGGGTTGAACGCATGATCAGTATCACTGGTCGTTATCGACTCACGCGCGTCAATCATATCGATCATCGTTCCGCAATCCCACCACAAGCCGTGCCGACGACTGACATAGAGGCCACGAGGGGAGCAGAGGCCCTCCTGGAAGACCCACCCCCTGGACAGAAGCCCACATCTATCCCAGTCGATAATGGCGGTGGAGATTGGGCCTCCCACAAGAACCACTGTTTCTGTCGAATCCGTATCCTTAGATTGGGCCGTTGAAGTAGCGATTTCCATCAAGTGCGGCGCTGCCATTTCCACCATTCCTGAGCCACAACCTGCTGCATCCGCCGCGCACAGGTTGAGGCTACTGTATCGGTATATATCCGCCATGAGGGCCGACTGTTCTACCCAGTCATTTTCGTCATCCTGGACGATGCAGAGGGCGTCAATCCAGATAAACTTAAAGCCTAGATTGCGAGAGATGCGCACTGCATCCTGGAGAGTTTCAGGCAGCTTCGAGATGGGGAGTCCCTTGATGAAGTCGCCCATCGTGTCCTGGGTCAGCCTCAAGGGAAGATCATTCCCCCATCGGTAACTCAGAGCGACGTAGCGTTGATCTTCAGTTTGCACATCTTGTTGCTGGGAGATGTACAGAGAAACATCATTGTTTTCAATCTTGAGGACCCGTTTAGGGAGGGCGGTAGAATGTCGTTGGGGACAGTAATCATGTTCCGTTTCACAGGCATCTATTCAGGTCTTGATCTTGTCGACTGCCTTTTCACGCCAAGGATAGTCTCGCGACGCCAGATACGGTTGACAACTCACAGACAAATTGTTCCACATAGGTGTATAGGTAATTCCATAATCTAACCAAGAGAACTGCTTTGGCAATTCGCTGCGGTAAAGGGCAAATTCGCCGTAGATATTTCTCCTGCTTGTGTCTGCCGCTTCTGAATCTTTTGTGAGCCTGACACAGAAACTATTTTTGTCTAGCGACAAAGCAAGCTGATAATGAGTGAATTCATGCTGAACGTCAGCACGATCGCATACAATCTGGTTGACAATAATGGCGCATACGCGGCAACTGGCCGAACTGTGAACTAATGTGGACAGAAGCCCATCACGGTGAATTTCAGAGTTGTCGTATCCACTTGGAGAGGTACCTGCTGGGTGTTGGAGGAGCTCCAAGATCAGTCTTTGGCAGTCTTTGCAAGTATGTCGTTGGAACTCGGGGGTGCGGCTTAGAGCAGGATTAGGTCGATAAGGCCTAAACTCAGGGAGACGAATCGAGCTGCTTTGCAGGATCGAGACATGGGACAGGGGCTTCTTCTCTGCCATTTTCAATATTCGTGTTTGAATCAGCGATTGAAATGTCAGATTTAATCTGAAAACAAAAGAGACACAAAGCCATTATGATACGATCGCGGCGCATCCCCGCTTTAGTTTACCTGCAACTCGCCTCACTTTCGGGGACTGCATATACAGGCCACCCTCAAGATGCATGCCGATAATAAGACAGTCAACGATAGAAAGCTATGCAAATACCACGTCAAAGATTATGACAGATAAAGTGGTAGATAAGTAGCTAGGCATGTGCACGATAACCCCCTCCTTGCAAGACATCCAGTAATGCATTCGTGGTGATGGGGCTGACGGGCTAAATGAATCCCTCTAACTTCTATTTGTCCACGTGTCAGTCACATAATCGTTGATATGTCGACATGCGCTTTTTATTCTCATACAAGGCATTCACCATAGTGGATAACTAATGCAAAAGAGATAACCAAGACAAAAAGCTCCCGTTTGTCTTGTGTAACCCAATGACCCATTCTCTGGAACAAGATGAGATAATCTCGGAATTGAATTACTGTTTCCTGGTCGACGTGACGGCTGATCCCTAGACAACCCCGCAGTGGCACGCTCCGGTTCAGGTGGCCAGGCTAAGGTTAGCAAATGGCACCTGACCCCACGGGGTCGAGTCCTTCTCCGCATCATGCTTCTCAAGCTACGCTCTTCTTGTTTAGTGGATTCATTTCTAGCTGTAGAAAGAAGAATGCGTGCTCTGCAAAACTGAACAAAGTCCAGTTCGCCTCTCAAGCGGGACACCTACATACTCTTTTTCATTATCCCTTGACACTCTCAAATCTCCCACCATGGGCTCCATGATTACGACCAGCAAAGCCTCATTACACTACCAAGACTACAATAGTCTGCCTGACCCAAAAAGAGTCTGGACCGGCAAGCCAGGGTCTAGGGAAGAAGGTCTCGGCCGTCTCGTACTTCTCACACCAGAAGTGGTAGCCAATGCGGCATCAACATGTATCAAGACAGGTCGCCGTACCTCGTTGAACTGGGAGCTGACCAAGCTTGACATTGCCAACTTCAATCGAGCTCCAGCCCAACATCACATCGTCTCGCTTTTAAACGGCGCCGCATATGATGATGTGTATATCTTCAACCCTCAACAGTCGTCTCAATGGGATGGGCTCCGCCATTTTTCTGCCCCAGCTCCAACTCCCTCAGACCCAAACCGTCGCCTCTTTTATGGAGGGATGACGTCGGGTGAGATACAAGACAGAAACAATACTCGTATAGGTATTCAGCATTGGGCAAAAGAAGGCATTTGCGGTCGTGGTGTTCTGTTGGACTATGCTGAATACGCTCGACGTCATTCAATATCTTACACGACATTTTCGGACCATTCTATCCCGCTTCATACACTCCTCGACGTTGCAAAGGAGCAATGTGTCAAGTTCCTCCGTGGCGATATCCTCTTTGTCAGGATCGGGGTTGTTAGGGAGTGGGACCAGCAGATGACGGCAGCTGACAAGCTGGCTTATGCGCAAAGCTCAAACCCACAACATGCTGGAGTTGAAGGCACCGAAGAGATGTTGAAATGGATATGGAATGAAGGCTTTTCAGCTGTGGCGAGTGATGCAATTTCCTTTGAAGTATATCCTCCGCAGCCGTCTTATCAGCGAGGCGACAATGCTTCAGTCAAGGGTTTATTTATGCACGAATATCTGATTGCAGGTTGGGGTATGCCAGTTGGCGAACTGTTTGATCTTGAGGGTCTTAGCCGTATTTGTCAGGAAGAGCAGAGATGGGAATTCTTTATAACGTCGGCACCTCTGAACATGCCAGGAGGTGTCAGCACTCCTCCAAATTGTATAGCTATATTTTGACGCATTAACTTTATGTACTCGATGGTGGAACAACTCCACGATTTATACTACAGTCCTTTTGTTTCTAGTACCTGAAATACCTTGGTAAACTTGTGAGCCAGTCCCCAGCATTGCAGCTTCTTCAATATCTCTTGTGCATCGGTGCTGATGGCAGGGACGCACCCATCAGTACCAATATCTGGAACAGACCCAGTGCTAGCAGGTCCTCCGACCTCAATCCACTTAACAATGACTCTTCTGTGAGAAAGATTCTGATCATGAAGATCCAGCCTGACACTTTGGGTGACCTCCATTGTCGATGATCTAGTATGACTATGATCGCCATAAGCAGAGTAGGCGATGATAAAGATGTAACCCATAAAGACTCGCATAATCTCGCAAGGGGCAGACACCAAGTATTCATTAGCTATTGCGACGATTTGGGCTGCGTGCCAGCATAGCCTTCTTGCTGTTTTCGGGTCCCTGGCAAAGGTCAACTTGAGCCGGTTGCGGGCTACCTTGATTCCATCATGTACTCGCGGTTCAGTTGAGATGAGGCCTCGCACAATGGACAGGATGAGGTCGAGGACACCATTCGCCGCACACAAGTGCGAGTAGTGGCAAAGAAGACTGGCTATACTGTATTTCTGTTAGTATGGAGTGCCGAAAGAGGACCCATTACTTACTTATAGCTGGTAAGATCGCTTGTCGATGCTGGCGAAGATAGAGATTCAACCAAGTTATTCAAGCCCTTAAGCAGCGACCTCTTCGTGTCTTGGTGCGCAGCCACGATTGATCCAAGGCCGAGGTACTCTGGCATTGCGACAACCTCAATTTGCCAGAGATCCCATAGTAACCGCCCAATTACCTGCGCACAGAGCCTCTTGGCCCAGGATCCCAATGACGATGGTAGTTCTCTCCCAGCTAGTGCCTGCTTTAGCACCTTTGATAGGTTTGGTCTTGACTCATCCTGACCTAGACGAGACATGAGAGCAAACCATGCTCGTGCTGAGGTGGCATTCCACATGGACTCCGGACATGGCAACTCTGATGGCAGCTCGCTCAAGTCAACAATGCCTCGACGACTAGTGAGAGTGCAAAGACTGCAGTCATACTCGAATGCTGCCCAGGCTGCTCGTCGTCCTGATTCCATTTTGATCCAGGTCTTCCAGTCATTTGCGAGAACACGGTCGTCCTCGGAACCACGAGATGTCTCGTGTTCCTGACTCAGAGTGATAGAAGAGCGAGGATCTAGAAGACCGATCCCGCGTAAGCCACCGATCAACAGCCCACGAGACCTGTCTGCATTCTGATATAGCTGTCGTTTTCCTGAGCCAAGGGAGTAGATCTGGTAAAGACAGAGCGCGTTAAGATATGAGACATCACTATAGTTGGTAGCATCCGAGGCGCCCTTGTATAATCAGTATAGCGTGCAGTAGATGAGGAGTGAAAACTAACCATCCAGTTGATCATTGTAGAGCAGATCTCACTCAGTGCTACTGAGAGCTCGTAATCTGACTGACTATCAGAGAGTAATGCACCAACAGAAGCCATAGCTGTGAGAAGAATAGGCGGGCAAGCCGACATGGTCCATGTAGGTTTGTGGATAATCGCCTGAATATCATGGAACCGAGAAAAGTAGGAGTCAACGAGACGCTGTAGGCTGCAAAATGCTTGGATCGAATGAGGGTCTCGTAAAGTTTCAAGCTGAGGAAGGGGATTCTCGGAGAAAATCTGAATGAAGCCTTTTACAAGTGTCGTCTGAACCGGACGCGGTCTGTCTGTCGGACAGTAACCGTTGAGAATATCGCGAAGAGGGGGAAGCTGATAACGATGAGGAGATTGCTTATGCGCCTGATCAAAAGGCCACGCAAGCGTGTTTTGTTCCATGTCTGGTTGTCCTTCGTCTTGTGAATCCCGACTCGAGTCCCCATTGCCCATCTTGTGCTGCACTCCATTGCCAACATCGCCGCTGCCAGGCGCTCCTGACTCGGGGGCTGTACTGGAGGACCAGAACTCTGGTATGTAGCTGTTATAAAAGCTCTCGAGTTGGAAACCTTGAGGACTGTTGCCAATGTCAAAGTTCAACCAGTCAAACCCGCCAGTTCGGAAGTTGGTCTGTCCTGGAAGCATGGAGGATGGCGAAAGGGCAAAGGTATTTTCAAAGACTGTATGGGCTGGATCTACTGGCAGGACGTTAAAGGGTTGTGGAATGTCTATAGTTGGAGAGACAGTTGAATCATCGTCAAGAATGTAAAAAGAGCCAACTTGGCAACCTTCATCGGTGATTTGAGCACCATGTACTTGATGGACTGTAGATGTCGTTGGTAGGGGGACGGTCCCTGTTGAATCTCCCAGTGACAGGCTCCCAGATCTCATCTCGTGTTGACAGGGCGAAGTCTCTTCTTCCGTTTGAGATGTCATCAATTCATCCTGTTTTTGTAATTGCTGCGCATCGGAGGGAAGAAATGACTGTCCTGTAGGTGTTCCGCCTTCGCGAGGGCCCCATTCATCCAAGTCGTTTGCCACCGGATACTCGCATCCATGGCCCGATCGAACGCAGCCATTGCAGGGCCTTTCGCGATTGCATTTCGCCTTCCGTTCCACGCATCGAAAACACGACTTTTGGCTTGATCGTCTGGTTTGTTCTTGAACCTGATGCCCATGGCGCAAGTGACGCAGGAGAACGTCGCGTCTACTGAATGTCTTTGAACAGTAGGGGCAAGGTATGTGTTGTCTGTGATTGGATGCAGAATGGGTGAGCTGATGCCGATGGAGATGGCTTGGACGCGAAAACCTCAAGGTGCATTCTGGACATTGAAGGACGCGCTTTGGAAGCGCATTAGCAGAGAGATATGGCAGAAGGATACTCATGGGAGGACATACAGTAGAGTTTGGCTCTGCCATTATAGTTAAAGCAATAGATAACGGGGAAATTAGATATACACAAGGTAAAAAAAGATGATTGAACTGTTGGAGTTTAGGTACCCCATCTAGCAAATATCTGAGGTAACGAGTTTCGCGGGGTATCATCACGTGGCGATTGCTTAGCATCCTTTCTAACTAGCCCGAATACACCAATTCAGTTAGACTATTTAATTTAATTTATTAAACCTCTTAAGTCGGCGCGGCTTGAGAAACCCAGGGAATATCGAGAAGGGTAGCAGAAAAACAGGCGACAAGAGGAACCTTGTGGATCGTTCTGCATCTCGGCGAAAAGCCTTCAGTAGCCGCCAATATCCCAGTCCCAAGCCGACACCAATGCCAAAACCACTGTGCAGTATTCCCGAGGCTTAGAAGACATAGCAATTCGACGTATTACACAACGCCTTCTAGTATATAGTTGATCACTTTAACTAGCTCTACCTATGTAGATAAATATACAGGCTAATAAGGTACCACCAAGGACACGTGCAATCTTACTTCCGACGTCGCCACCTTGGACGACATAGCCATTCTCAAATCCAAGCTGGACCATGAGAGTATCCAGGATATTGGCAGCATTCTCAAGACGAAAGTCCCTGTCTAGTGGTGGCGCTGATGAATATGCATATCCCGGGAGTGAAGGCACAATGATGTGGTATGGGAGTTCTTGGGGACGGTACTTGGCAGATAGCCGAGAGAATATAGGCAGGAATTCGAGGAAGCACCCTGGCCAACCGTGTAAGGCGAGCACAGGTATAGCATCATCTCGATTGGAAAAAAGAGCCATAAAGTGTATGGTATATGAGACACCATTGTCATCAACTTCAGCCGTGAAGTTGGGGAACCTGTTAACTTGGCTCTCTACCTTACGCCTAAAGACAAATGATTCGATTAGATCAGTAATGTACTGTGAAAACGGACTTGTATACTGCCTACCAGTCAAAATCTTTCCACACCGCAACGGCCTCGCGGAGCCATTGCCAGGTGACTCCATACTGACGGTTCTGTTGGACATTCTCGTAGGTAGTCGGACCAATCTTGGCAGATTCGATATTAGCCTTGAAATCTCGTAACTGTTCATCGGTATGGTGCACGATGAAGGGTTTGGGATGTTTGACTGCCGAAGCAGGGATTGCAGAATAATTGGCAGACATGATTTGAGCGGTTGGACTTGATTTTGAACTTGTGATGAAGCAGGGATTAAAAGCTGGTATTGCAATACTCTTAAGAGCGCCGTCTCTCTGGCAGGCAGAACAGACTGTGCTTTTTATATTTGTTACAGAGAGTCAGATGCATCTGGTAAGTAAGTACGTAGTGTTCGACGTTATGACAAACCAACAACCAATCAGCAACTAAAGCAGAATATACTAGCAAAACCTACCCAATTAGGCGTAGCGTAAGTAGAGTCGCCGCTGATGTGAGACTCACCTACCAGACAGCCACAGTGATTATATCATCCTAAGTAAGTACATAACCCTCCTCGCGATACCTACCGAGAGCATCTTAGTTTGAGACGATACAACAAAAAACCTGCTCGATTCCTTGAGATGCCGCGCCGCAGCCGAGGTTGCCAAGCCTGCCGGCAGAGGCGTATAGGCTGCGATGGCCAATATCCAGTTTGCCACAACTGCCAACAGTGGAATCGGCAATGCTCTGGTCCAATAACATCAGTCATTATCATTAACCAGACCGCCAAGACAACCAAAAAGCACAGTCAACCACGGCATCCATCCGCGCAGAGTCAGACTGGTTCGTTATCAAATTTGCGCGTGTCTAATTCTGCTATTGAGGCCGTCGCTTTCCAAGCCGAATTCTTTACCTTTATTGTCCCGGATACAAGGGCTTCGGTTAAGTCGTTCCTTGGAGAGCTACAGAAAACACGACTTCAGGAAACGGCGCCTACCCTTAATCTTGCTGTCCAGGCTGTGGGCTTGGCTTTTTGTGCGAGTTTGTCGAGTAGCAAGCCAGCGGCTCAGAAGGCCACCGAGCTGTACATAAAGACCTTGCGTGGGCATTCGAGGGCAGTAGCGGCAAGTTCAACATCACTTGTGGCTAATGTATGCACATCATTGATGCTGTCTTATTTCGAGGCTATCCAACCTACCATCATGACATCGGATGCATATGGGATGCATTTATCTGGTGCCTGGAGAATGCTGCTAGTTGCGGGTGATATTCGCGCACAACCGCTTTTATGGCAAGCTGCCAATCATAGTCTATGTCAACAGGTATAGCAATCCAGACCCTCCTTGTTTGTGAAGCGCTAGATACTAACATGAATTATAAAATAGTTGCTAGCAATGCTGATGTTTCCACGCTCCTACTTATCCAATGTTTCAGTCACCTGGCCCTTATTTGAATATCTTCGTAGCAAATATGTCGCCACAGACTTTGTATTCGATCGCCTACTTGTCGAGCTATATATCTTAACCGACTTTCATATCAAGAAACGCTATCAACACGATTCAGCCCGCTTTCCAAAAGACGCACCTTCAAGGCTTAACGACCTCTGGAAAGAGTTTCAGGAGGCTCAAAGAAACCTAACTAATGAGCAAAAAGAGTACTTCAAGGGCGTCACGACGTTAACGCTTTCCTACTTTGCCTCCTCACGGATACTTATTGCGCTGCTTCATACGGAAACTCATACACTTCAATCAGTAATAGATCTCCGTGAAGCTTACAAAATGGTACTGAACTGTGTCAACTTCCTTAAAGAAAAAAAGTCGGGCTGCGTTCATATCAGGCTATTCTTTCCTCTACTCCTCGTCCAGATATACAGCCCTATTGAAAATTATCGCACGCAGGCCAAGGGGTATATTGAGACGTGGCTGCGTAAGACTGTATATGTTGGTCTTGGTGCACCCAAGGCTATGTAGGTGGGGACAAAGGAGGTCCGAGCACTGTATCTTCAAATTTAATAGCTAAAATGGATATCTATTACTCTTTGTAAAGCCCAACTGAAGATCCAGTAATGCTCACGATAGTGCTCTCGAGAATTGTATACACCATACTCAATACCTTCTTCGACGGCTTAACATCGAAATGGGGCACTCCTTTGATTGGGAACCCACCAGAGTTGATGTCCGGCCCCGGGAGCTTAGATCGAAGAGCTGGAAGATTCTTCTATAAGATAGCAGCTACTTGTCTGTTGGAGTATGTGCTACTGCAAGCAAATAACCGTTATCTGCCGGCTTTATCTGCCGGCTTCTTTGACTTCTATCGATGGGGATGAATGCCGTCTATAAGGTTAAGCTTTAGGCTGCGAATACAGATAATGAATGATGATACGACTTCTTTGACTTTTGTCATAAGGTCGTAGGAGGTTAAAAGAGGCTTTAGCCCTCAGCGCACAAAGGTAGAAAACATTAATAAACACATTCGGGCAATATACAGATCGCCCTCACTGTTACCTAGGATTCCTTGACTTTAATGGCTCTAATATGTGTATAGCCACATCTCTAAGATCGGTAAAGCGGCCAGTTGATATGTAGACTATAGTATAATGCTAAAACAGTTTGTTATTGTATTTTATATAAAACGTAAACGCAAATTATAGACATTAATGTTGGCATAAGGGACTTTTAGTATCTATATCTATAGTGTATACAGGCTCATGCATTATGTTCTATAACTCTGGCTCAGATATTGTGCAATCATTTCATACCCTGGGAAAGGTATTCCTTCGTGTTTGAGAAAGTCTCTGACCCATCGTAGAACCAGGGTTCGTCAGGCATCTCGTTTTCCTCCTTTGTAATCACAAGCCGACGGCCTGTGTAGTCAAGACGAAGGCCAGGATAAATAAAGCTCTTCCACATATAAACTAATATGTTGGAGCTCTCAAGACTCTTGGCAATATGAGGCCCGATAAGCTCCTGGTGCTTCTCCGGCAGAACAGACCAATGCAGACCAGGGTATAAATGGTGCACGGTATGATAGCCGTTATTGAAGCACAAGTAATTGAGCGTAATGCCTGTGAAATTGCGCGCAAAATTGTACTTGGAGCTCATGTCGCAGCCGTCGTGCTGGAGGAAGTTCAATGACAGAATGCAGTACTTTGCATAGAATTGCGGCAAAAGCGCAAACCAGATCCATCGACGCCAATCGATCAAGATGAGCACTGCAGTAGTACCCCAGACGGCAATCTCTTCGCGGCGGCGCTGCCTCACGATGGGTCGATTAAGACGTGCCTGGGCCTCAAAGTACAACTTATCATCCTTGTTGCCCGACAGAACAACATGCCAGAAAAACAGGAGACCGTTCAAGAGATTCCAGCTATATCGGACTTTAGTGGTGCGCACTGTTTATGCGGTCAGCAATGTCACATGTGGAGAAATTGAGGCATTTAATTTCCTGTCAGACGATTGAGTCTGAATAGGAAGGACGTAAGCTACTTACTGACATCTCGTGCTTGCTGAGGGTATTTGTGATGAGACAGATTGTGACCAGGGATGAAGACCGTAACAGCGCCTCCGTACTGGAGAGACAAGCAGATCTGGTAGAAGTTGTTCCAGTTCCTACTCCAGAAGACAGGCAAGTGAATCGCATTATGCGTTGTCACGGCGCCCATAAAGGACAGCTGGAAGAGCGACAGCCATAGTGTAAGCGAAACCCAACCTCCAGCCAACGGCGATGAGAAATAGTGCCAGGTGATGACAAAGACGAGGAAAAAAAGAAAGGTAGACACGATGCACCGGATATCCTCGTTATGTCTCATGCCAGACCGCACTGGCGATGGCGATGGCTGCTGGTGGGCGGTTTTCTCAGCCATTATGCGGTGAAGAGAGCGGCGATCGATGGTTGGGTTGTGCACAAACAATGTGAATAGAATACTAGTCTAAGGGGCTGAGCGCTTGAAAATTTTACACGTAATCAAATTTTGGATACTAGCGTCACGTGACTCCCGGTAGTTCCGGGTATGTCCTACTGTAGACGTAAGCATCGTATGACTTTTCTTGTTAAACCTATTTATTCCGGTCATTTAATAGCCGGTCCTTGTCGGACTTGGTGTCCAGTAACTCCTCGTGGCCATATATCGGGGTTTGATCTTGTTCCTTGGGACTAAGTATCGGTGGTTGTTCTTATCAATCTTTGGCTCCACTTATTAACCGAAATATACTAAAGCCATTTAAACCAATCTGTCCTTTCCTGCACGCATCAAGACTTCAGTAGACCCTGGGATCAGATCGAAATGATTCGGTTAGCGACCGCAGGACAAACCGGATGGACGAGTACCATGAATTGGAGCACAGGCACAAAGTTCTCATGTGCTGGCTGGTGCATGTGTGAGGCACTTGATGTGAGCGTCAGCGGTGGGGTCTGTCAACTCAAAATAATCAGCAACCCAAGAGGATCCCAACAGTGAGACAATCACTCTCACCATTGGACACCTTCCGTGTTGCAGCAGAGACCGTTGACACATGGCCAGTGGCAGGTAACGTCCGACGCGCATTCGTGAATTGCGGAAAATTGGTCATTTGAGCCCATCTTGGTGAGGGACAGTTACCATTGTGCTATGTGAAGGTGTACTACCCAGGACTCATAATGGGCATCAGTATAATTACACAGTCTACATAGCCCACCGTAGAGACTGAAATGAGAATGGAGGCAGAAGGGTTAAAATTGGTCATTGTGAAAGCTTATGGGTAAAAGCTTATGTCGGGAAAAAAGATGTCGTGTTGTTATTCATTATCTGTGTTGGCAGCCTGAAGCTTAATCTTATAGGCCGCAGTCATCCCCATAGACGTGTAAATAAATGTGCCTAGAGTCAAGGAATGTCTTAAATATCGGAGCCAGGCAGAGGGACTCACCCTAGACATCATCGACATTGAGAAATTTGGGGATTCCACTACTGGGTATAGTATATGGTGCTTGTATTTATATGAGGCATAGGTTAAGTATAGTGGCTAGTCTTGCTGCAACCTGATCCCTGCATACTTAAGATCAATGACCCAGAATTACTTATCATACTCACAATTTCTTCTCGCGCTGAATATTCGAGAGTTGCACGGGAAACGTCGCCTGACTTTTGCGGAAAAACCGGGGCATTCCGTTAGCACAGAAATTAGGCGAGAAATCTCACTTCCTCTGATTGGCTACACCGTATTGCAACCTGGAATTATCGTATACGCGTATAACAAAGCTTGACAGCTGATGGATACTGTCTGCTAAACAAATTACGGAGTACAGAATTCAACAATCCCCATGTCGCTTGATCGCATTGACAGACACAAACCAGTCTCTTATCATGAGTGCTACCCAACGTTCCACGCGAGGGTCTTTTATTCCCGTAAGAGCGTATACAGTCGCTTACTACTTCCCGAAATGTCAGTCATGTCACGTTCAACAAGGTCAAACTGTCTTACCACTTCAATCCATCTCGCCATCCACTTCTCTACCGCGTGCTTTGCCTCGTCAACGAGCCCAAGTTCTGCATCTCGTTAGCAACAGTGAATGATTGTACCATGATTACTATCCATACCTAGCAAGAGCTGGACTGCGCCGCGAATACCCGAGTCTAAAGCCGAGGCGATCCAAGCGTGAGTGTAAGAGGTATGCTCGCCAACAAAGATCATCTACTCAAATTGTCAGAAAGTGGCCGTAGATTTCGATGCACCGCTCACCTTGTTGTATGTTTTGAAGTACTCGGGTATGTAGAGTTGATGCTGACCTGCAGTCGGACTAGCCCAACTTCCGGACTCAAGAGGGTCAAGCGCCCAACATCTTCTGTTATACTTTCCGGTATAAAGGTCTCGGGTGAACTCCCCGTGAATCTCAATCATGGCCTCAAGGACCATCTGGACATGATCTTCTTCGGACATGCTTGCCAACCGAACTCCCATGTCACCACTGATATAGCTTGCCAGAATGGTAGCAGGGCCCGTGCCATTCAAGTTGTAGGATGGATAGCAGATACTACCAATGCCCGGAATATCCGTAGTTGTACTGCACCCACCATAAATGGGGTGCTCGTAATGTTCCCAGAAGCGCTCAGAGAACTCGAGCGCAACCTTGCAGGCAGACCCATAGTTCAACTCCTTGATGGCGTTGGAAATGGTTGCGGGGAGCTTAGGAAGACGCCACCTTCGGACAACAGAGAAGGGTACTGCAATCACGGCATAATCGAACGTTGAGTTATGGAACGTTGTGTCGTTGTACTCTTTGCGCCACTGCAATGTGACCTTTTCCTCTGTCTCGCTATACCTGATGCGCTCAATTTTGCGCTCCATTGTTGTGATGTTGTCGACGAGAGGATGGAACGACAATGGAAGCCTGTTGAGACCTCCATCGATGGTCTTGTAGCTGGCGGCTGAGAAATACATTCCCTCGTACAGCGAGTCCCAGAAGCTAGAAGCAGACCAACCACCATTCATGTCAGTGCTGTTGAGGCTACCCTTCAAGTAGTTGACCATAAAGGCATATTCGGACCATTGATCACCACCTAGGCCATTGAGACCAGTTTCAAGCCACTGCTTATGAGCTTTGAACATGTTCTTTGCCATTAGAGTGCTGAACTCCGAACCAGGCATGAATGTGTCAACCTTGGTCTGGAGGTCTTGGGTCATGGGGTCATTGACACTCGCAGGACTGAGTGACGCATTACTCGCAATTTCCGCTAGTGTTGGCGGCAGTCCGCTTGGTAGCTTGAACTCGTTTTTGTACGAAAGGCCATTTGGGCTACTCTGGAGCCAAGGAATGAAGTCAACGCTGAGATTCTTGTCGTGGTTGTTGAGCTTGTTCATCTCTTCTGCAAGTTGGAACACCAACTGATGGTCTGTGATGTTCATTGTCTCGTTGGTCTCAGGGCTCTTGTAAGTGGAAGGGAATCGCATGGGTCCCATCTCTTGATAGGAGTAGTTAAAGGGTCCGCCAGTGAGATACTCGGTATGAACACGGCCACCGAGTCGATTACCGGCTTCAATGATATTGATGTTGGTCATGCCTGCTTGTGAGAGAACTAGGTAGGTCATCAATCCCGACATACCCGCACCAACGATGGAAACGTGCTTCTCTTTGGCCGCGTCGGCATCGAGTGCAGAGATGCCAGTCTTTGAGAGATGCTCAACACCGTCAAACCACGGTCCCAGCACATCGATACCATTCTCGGCATTCATGAGGATTGGATCTGTCGGCCTTACTGTTAGCCTCCAACTACATCAAAAGGAATACCACTCACCTGTTGCCCGCTTCTGAACATTCCGACGCCTGACACGATGGAGCCTTTGGGGCTCACTCCGTCCCACGAGAACATTGTCTTCTGTCCATGCTGAAATGCACCCATTATCGTATGAATCTTCGGGTATGATCCAGACTAATCGTGAGACACCTTTGCTTTCAGTGACAGCTATCGTGTAATGGGATTCAGACCGAGACTTGCTGTTGCAGAGGCCATAGGTGAATGACAATGGACCCTCCGATGCTTGATCAAACTTGACGTAGATATTTGTCAAGTGAGAAGTTAGAGACCCTCTTGTGTGCAATTGGACAGGTAGAGAAGAGGCGATGGCGCCTCCTAGTCCAAGGATAACAGTCGCAAAGGATTGTTTCATGGCAACAGGTAATAACAAAGACCTAAGGCTAGTAATGAGTATGACTGGGAGAGTAGATGAAATTGTCAACTATATACTACCTATAATACTCAACCAACCTACTCTTTGTATCTGAGATTAGATAGGGTAACGGGAGTATCGGCGGCTAGCAGTTCCCAAAAAAAGACTCATCGACTTATCTGCAACGAACTTTTGAGCGCCTTTTGCCCCATCGGCACCGCTAGTTCCCCGAAGCCATGGTAGAATGCTCAAAGGCGTCGGCCAAGTAAAAAGTTCCGTCCAAATACAAGCTGCATAAACGCGAGGCATGCTGTAAGTGGCCAGAGAAGTGCTGCAGCACGATATGAGTTGCAGCATCCGACATCGGGATTTTAACGTTACTTCCGCTTATCAGCGTCAAACTAGTCATAGACACCAATTGAGGTTGCAAAAGTATGCTTATCTTTAAACGGTGAGGAATTAATAAGCATAGAATGTTAAAGGGCGCGCCGACGACCCGAAAGATGGGTGAGTTGATGCATGTCGCTTAGTGCAAATGGACCAACCCCGCAGATAAACCACGATAGACTGGGACATAAGTATGCAGATCTCTGTGTCAAAAGATAAGCTTCCGGCTAATACACCCCAATTCGTGCATACACAGAGATAAGAGATCTTTATCCATTAGAAGATATATCCGGATTACTAACATATACTGCCATAGTCGGTATAATAAGAGGGCAACTAGATATATTTACTACTAAGTTCTAGAGGGTAACACGTAATTTTCAATACCATACTAGCATTCAAAAGTTGATAACTAGCTTAAGATATCATTTCAATTTATAGCTTTAAATATCCTCCAATAAGTCAATTTAAACTCAAATTTCATCCTCCGTGTCCCCAATACAACATTAAGAGCCATCAGTATCGTCCTCCTTCAACATCACACCGGCCTCCCGCAGATCATGTCCATCGGCATCAGCTAAGGGCTTGCTCAATTCGACCTCTTCCAGGAGCCACAGAGAAACATCTAGAACAAGAGCCAGACGAGATACCAAGAAATTCAGCCCCAGATGGTTGTCACTTCAGCGGTAGCAGTGATGGCGGAGACTGTAGCTGTGATAGTAAATAAAACAGTTTGTATAGTCGCGTCAGTTACAGTTACTGTGGAGGTAACTGCATCAGGAACGGAACCAGGATCAACGCCAGTTACAGTAACTGTATTAACCTCGGTAATAGG